TTAAAATGCATTGTGAACCCAAAGATAACTCTGTACTGGTCTTCCTATAGTTGAGCCAACAGCAGATAGATCCTGTATCCTCTGACTGGTGCCCAGAAGGTAGGAGGGGAATTCGCCCTGCTCTAGTAAACAGGAGTGGGGAAAAACCTAGATTCAAAGTCTGGGTCCTTGACTCTGACCACCTGGCAGGAGATGTTGAGATCCAAGCCCTAAGATCAGTACCAACAGTTAATAGTTTTTGAAAACTTGCTTTATACTACCCACTAGTCAAAGTAGTGATGTACTCCTCAGAACCATATATCAAGTAAGTACTATCATTTCTCCACAGATGATGAAACTGAGGCAAAGAACGGTAACTTACTCAAGGTCACAAGCTGGTAGGTGATATTGCTGAGGTTGAAAAGCAGCCAGTTTGACTCCAGAACCTGTCTTCTTTTTTTTTTAATAATATATTTTTTTATTGATTTCAGAGAGGAAGGGAGAGGGAGAGATAGAAACATCAATGACGAGAATCACTGATTGGCTGCCTCCCACATGCCCCATACTGGGGATTGAGCTGGCGACTCGGGCATGTGCCCTGACTGGGAATCGAACTGGTCCCTATGACCTCTTGGTTCCTGGGTCAATGCTTAACCACTGAGATACACTGGCTGGGGCAGAGCATGTCTTCTTAACCACAATGTTCTAATCCTCCAGGAGGAGCCTGGCGTCCTGAGCAGATGCACAAAAATCCTGAAAAAACCGTTAATGGGACCTCCATTGTAAGCCACATCAATTTCAGGCAAACAGTGCTAGACGATGAAAGACTACTTACTCTGGAACCAGTGATGGTTAGGTGGAGGCTGGATGACTCGTGCCATTGCTAGCTTTTTTTTTTTTTTTTTAATCCACACTCTTCTGTCTATTCCTTTGCTGGTTCTTCCTCAACTTTACCTTAAACATTAGAGTGCCTCAGGCATTAGTCTTGGACCTTTCTTATTCTCTATCTACACTTTCTCCCTAGACAATGGCATCCAGATCTTCATGATAATGATTCCCTAAAATGTATCTCCAGTCCAGGCCTCTTCCCTGACAGGGCTAGGGTACATCTCTCTACTCAACAGCTCCACCAACACCTCACGGGCATCTCACACTTAACGTATCTAAACAGAATTCTTGGTTTCTGCCCCCATACAAATATGCTCCTGCCACAGAATTCTTTTCAGTAGATTTAACACTAGAGGCCCAGTGCTGTGCACTGGTGGGTCCCTCGGCCTGGCCTGCCGGGATCGGCCAAAACTGGTTCTCTGACATCCCCCGAGGGTCCCGGATTGCGACAGGACAGTTCTCCGGTGACGCACCCGGGAAGGAGGGAAGCCGCGGTGATTTCCCAGCTGAGAGTGGTACTGAGGAAATTGCTGCCTCCACTGGAAATTGCTATTAAGCAGATGGGCCGGCACGGGGGCCAGACGTTGGGGCCGCAGCCAGGAGGTCCTGCAAGTGTCATCATTTAGCCAATTGAGTCAAAAAGTTTCTGTGAGGGCCAGACCCATGACCTCTGCAACAGGCTAGAGGCCCCATGGGGAGCCAGACCCGAAGTGGGTAGCCAATGGGCTAGAGGCCTGGTGCACAAATTTGTGCACCGGTAGGGTCCCTTGGCCTGGCCTGTGGGCCAAAACAGGATCTCCGACATCCCCTGAGGGGTCCTGGATTGCGAGAGGGCAGTTCTCGGGTGATGCACCAGAACTGGGCTCCCTCCTCTCTGGTTCCGGGTATGTCATCCGAGAACAGCAGCTGCCAAGTCACCGCAGCTCAGCAGCTCCTGCATTGAGCATCTGCCCCTGCTGGTCCGTGCATGTCATAGCTACTGGCCAGATGGTCGGCTGGTCGCTTAGGCCAGTGGTCAGCAAACTGCGCTCGGGAACCACATGAAGCTCTTTGGCCCATGCACAGAAGTCGGTATTTTGTGGAAGAGCCACACTCAAGGGGCCAAAGAGCCACACATGGCTTG